TATTATCCAGGTCGGTCACACCTAGAAAATAAAATTAAATTAATGTTCTCTTGGCATATCACTTACTTTTAACTGTTATTGCCTATTTTATTGTAAAATTATGTACATGATGTGAGAACATTGGCGAGTGCCTTATATTTCTATATACAAAACTATTAACATTATTAACTTAGGTGAGCTCTATAAATATGTAAAAGGTGTGTTCAGTTTCAATGTTGCTATTGAGAGCCACCAGACGGCCAGGAGCTCCCGCGTGCGTGCATGTGTGTGTGAGAGCTAGTGTGTGTGTGTGTGTGTGTGTGTGTGTGTGTGTGTATGCATATAAACGCGCTTGAAACAATGCACTTTGGCTCTTGTTTGGGTCTTTGGTCTAGATTAGGTTTTGTGCATCGGTATTGGTATATACGAATTCGTGGCAGTTTATATGCAGGTAAAGCAAGCATGGAAAGGCAAGGCAACCGATTCGCTCATGTAAGTATGATTCTGCTGAATTATGTGTTAGGTATACGTGTAACAGAGCGTATTATAGACTACTCTGTACATCTAAACTGCAGTCATGTTTGCATGTGCACAATCATCGCATTTTAACGGTCATTGTAAGGCTGTAGGCGTGCTGTCAGAATCCAGCCTCAGCAGTGCAATAGCAGGCTCAACATCTGAATTATTTTCTGCATTTGGCATGTAATATCGGTCCTGTAGGACACATCAAAAGATATGCGAGTTAATATGATGTGGAAAGATACTGTCAGAAATTAGAAAGATAGCGTTTCTTTGCGAACACAACTAGTAAATATGCATTTGCATTTTTTTTTGTATTATTAAAAACGAAATAATACATGCTGCTGTAATGTAATTGCATATTATTATTATTATTATTATTATTATTATTATTATTATTTCTCTCATTTTTTTGGAATTCACAGTACGAGCTTCAGATGAAGGGTATTAACAGTTGTTATATATAATTTCTCTTTGTAGTCAGAAGACCATTCTGCAATAAAACGGATCGCATTTTGTCACCAGATCCCGTGGGAGCACATGGGCTCATGCAGGTGTCTTTCAAGACATTTAAAGCAGCCATTAACAGCAATGCATATCCACTAACTTTGAGGGCTGTCGGTCTTTTTTCGTTGATATCTTTCCCGACCGATGGACAGTCATATGTTAGCTACTCACTTCTGCTTTTATGAAGATTAGATTGAAGAAGACCGAGCTGTTGGTGTATTAAAAACAATAAATAGGATTATAAACTCGTGCACATAAACACATTGTGAAATATAAACAGGGTATTTAGTTTTTCTCAAATAAATGTAACAGGCCGTATGAAGCACGTAACTACAGGTTTATGTGCGTAATTATCTTCTCTGAGAGTGTGAGGGTGGATTGCCGCCTTTTGATTTTGTGCAAACAAACCCCAGAGCCTATTTCATTCATAAATGAAATAATTCGCACTTTATTTGGCGCATCTGATTTTTGCTAATTAAAGAGGTCACGATGGATTAACAGGACAAAATGCTTTAAACATTTAAATGTACAGATACTTTACCCGCTCTGAAGGAAGAAGTGATCTTGTTACTAAGCCTCCCACTGACAAATGACATTTATTGGTTTATTGACTGACTCCATATTACACGTTTAATCGGTCAAACCTTCTCTTGTCAAGACACATCCACTAGATATAAACATATAAGGTCATTAAACTAATACGTAAAATAGATACGAAAATTCTGAGTTTATTTCATTGAGAAAAAGAAGACAGCGAAAGCTTTTTATTAGTTACACTTAAATAATATTTAACCACAACATTAATTGGTTATAGCATATTAAAACGGTGACATTGTTTAATTAATATATTTTTTTTTTATTTAGCCTAAAACTCGACTGTTGTTGTTGTTGTTTTTTTTTTGTATTATTATTTATTTTAGTGCGACTTAATGCACAGATCTATTGTATAAAACAATGTGCCACTTTTTTTTTTTTTTTTTTGTGATAGCTTGCCCTTTCTCCATTCCTCATAAAACAATTCAAATGAAAATCTCTCTCACGCACTGGGCTGTACATTTTTTTTTTCTGACGGAGCAACACCTTTGTGAAGGCATTTAACTGTAATTACACTTGTGAAGAAAAGTGCTGCTCCTCATCACAAGCTCATTGGGGAACAGTTTTCTGCGTCATTTAAACGTCTGCCTTTTTACGAGCTCCTGGAAACGTGATGGCTATGTAACCACGCATTTGGACTATTTTCTTTCCAGATTGTTGCCATTTTCCTGTGGTTTAGCACAGGAAGGGAGGGATGCTGGCCCAGGCCCCGGAAGAGAGGTGTTCTGCAAACCAGGCCTCAGTGACATCCACCTTGAGAACTGCTGTCGGAGACGGAGTTTGTGTCCTCTCAATTAATTAAGGACAGAATTGAAGAGGTTTGTCAATTGAGTATCAAATCAATCACTAGCCTAAATAAATCCCTGTAATTTGAAACGCATTAACCAATGATATGTTTGAATATGTCTACAGTTGTAAGTGGATTTTTATTAAACTTACTAAGTCAAATAAAATGCATACAGGCACCATTGTCTCATTGTCACTGTGTTCGGTTCAATGCATTCTATAACACTTCAAAATGTGAAGTGTTTTTATACTGTTATATTTCGGGATAAAATTATAAAAAGAGCTATTCTAACAAATAAGGAAGTTAATATTTATTTATTTATTTATGTGGTGACTTTTGGATACAACAAGCTGCAAAAATTTAAACCGTCATTAATCGCCACGGTGTTTTGTACCATAATCATCATCATCATCATCATTATTATTATTATTATTATTATTATTATTGTTATTATTTAATGTTTAGTAAAAGTTACTAAATTAATTATACTAATTAACTAAATTAATGAGAAAAAAAATAATACTAAATAAAAAAACTACTAGGCCTACTACTAATTGCCAGCTAATCGTAAAAAAAAACAACAACACAGTAAATAACAAACAGATAAAACATTACGTACGTATATTACATACAATAAAAATAATAATAATAATAATAATAATAATAATACACTACTTAGAAATAAAACTGATTAGATGGAATTAGAGGGATAAGATCCCGATCTCTGGTGTTATTGCTATACGTTCGTTGAAAGCAAGTGAAACCAAATCTTTATTCATGGTAGGAAAGGGCTCGGCTTATGTGTTACGCACTGATAGGATCTCACCACACTCAATATGTGAAATGATATCCACCCAGCCGTGGCCACAGTCAGAAAACACGGGGGGGAAAACCCCACTTGTTGCGACAACTACACGGCTGCGCTCTGCTCTGATCTCTACATGCTAATACAGTGGATGCAATGGCAAAGTAAACACAACTTCTCTCTCTCTCTCTCTCTCTCTCTCTCTCTCTCTCTCTCTCGATTACACTAACATATTCAAGATGACCTCAAAACTGAGAATGGACTAAAACATATTTTGATTTCAAGGGATGTGTAGAAAAGAAGTGATCAGTTAGATTTTCACTTTCTAATATAAATTCATATAGATTTTAACCTAAAATCTATGGTTGATGGAACATGATAATCATCAACCACATGTGTGTGTGTGTGTGTGCGCGCGCGAGTGTGTGAGAGAGGGGGAAAGAGGGAAATCAGAAAATTGGCAAAGGTACTCAATGGCTGTAGTAACAAAACAATATCAATGAAGGCAAAAGTGGTGGTTGCCGTAAACGCTTTGAGAATGGAGAGGTGAGGCAGAGTAATTGAAAACAAAAATGCACATGTAGAACACTTGCAAAAGCTGTTTTACAGATTGCGCGTGAAATCAAACTTAAGTAGGCCTACATAACTGACTATTAAATATATCGGCTATTACATATATAGTATGAAGTATTATGGTAGGCTGCGACGTTCCATCTGATTGGTGACACGCCTTTGCTCGTATAACGTAAGGCACTCTTGCTCTGTCTACCACAGCTAATGAAAGCGCGAGAGCAACTACAGTTAAGTTCCCTGGGTAATTATTAGCCATTAATTGGGTTCAAGACCTTGAGAGTGTATGGGAAATAGGAAATCTGACCACTAATCCTAGACAGAGTTTTTTTTTCCCCTCCGTTGTCCCTCGTTCAAAGCGAAGGACTACAGGCGCCATGGGCTACTTACTGCACACTTATAACCTACAAACACGATAATATAACCAAGGCATAACTTCAAATAAATTACCTCAACATCCCAACACAATATATACCCATACAACATAAAATAATCCATACAAAAAATTACACATACACGATTACCTACGATATAAAACACATGATCTAGCCTATATAAAACTTAACCTACATACACAATACCTACATCACAAACTAATCCACACATGACCTAAAAACACAGTTTCTACACATAAGACACAACACACACATCACCTAAAAATGACATGATGCAGTAAATTATTGCCAGTTTAAAAAAAAAACAGTTTTCAAAATTGACA